TATGACAAGACACATATGTAAATAACCTGTACATGTATATACAAATACAAAACAACAATAACACAATAAATAATAATTTATAAATTTGGGAGGGAACATGCGGAGGGGAATGATATAGAAATTTCAGCAGGAGAAGTGTCACGTAGCAGCCAATTAATTCATCAACAATAAAATGAGCAGCTGATAATATAAAAATAGTACGGTCCCACCCTTCGTGCTTTTACTCTCATTCCTCCCATAAACTGATAAATAAATAATAACAACTGGCACGGCATCACTCTTCGTGCTTTAACTCTCTTTTGGCACGGCATCACCCTTCGTGCTTTTACACTCTCTGAAAATGACACGGCATCACCCTTCGTACTTTTACACTCTCTGAAAATGGAACGACATCACCCTTCGTGATTTTATGCTAAATAATGGCACGATAACATCCTTCGTACTTTTATACTCTTTCTCACCATGACAATGATAGTATAAATAATAAAAAAGGAACGGCATTACCCTTCGTGCTTTTACGCTCTTTCTCACCATATTCAACAATAATTAAATCAATAAAAATTTCATAAATAATGTTCAAATAATCAATAATAAACTTAAGCAGGAATATCTTAATTAAATAAATAATTATTCAAAATGAATTAAATTTCTCCAGCATGCTTTGACTCAACTACAACGCATAAGTACTCGTCGCCTCACATATATGTTGTACCCGCACATTAAATCACGTAGCAAATAAACAAATAAATCCTACTCCCTCAAGTCAAGGTTAACCACAACACTTACCTCGCTTTGCAACCAACTCAAGATTCTAATAAACCTTTGCCTCGCGAATTCGTGTGCGAAATCCTCAAATCTAGTCATAAACAATTCAATATACTCAATACAAATCGTAAAAAATAATTCCATATGAATTTTTTAATTTTTCGTATTAAAATTCGAAATTCATCTAAAAAATCAACAATGGGGCCCACGTCTCAAAGCTCAAAAAAACTTACGAAATCCTGATACCCATTCCGAGACGAGTCCAACCATATAAAAATTATCAAATTCCGATGTCAATTGGACCTTCAAATCTTAAATTTTTATTTTTGAAAAGTTTTACAAAAATTCTAATTTCTTCCATCTAAATCCAAAATAAATGATGGATATAGACATAGATTTATGAAATATAATCACTTTTGGTTATAGAACACTTACCCAATTCAAAATCATGAAAAATTTCTTTGGAATAGCCTAAACCCGAGACCCAAAACTCAAAAATAAGTAAAAATGGTTTACTTCCGATTTTATGGGTTCTGTCCAGGATTTTTCGCATTTGCGGACACTTAACCGCATTTGCGATTCCGTTTTTGCGGAGGTTGGGGTCGCTTCTGTGGGCTGGCTCGTTTCTGCAGACTCGCTTCAGCGCAAGGCTGCCCCTTCCCCCTTTTCCCACTTTTGTGATGCGTGGGCTGCTTCTGCGTCATCCCATCCGCTTCTGCGAGGCATGACTCGCTTTTGCGAGCTCGCACCTGCGGTCTAAAATCCGCAGGAGCGATTACACCAGAAGCCAAAATTTTAAATTTTTATTAAGTCCAAATTTTGATCCGTTAACCATCCGGAATCCACCCGATGTCCCCGGGACCTAACCAAATACACCAACAAGTCCTAAAACATCATCCAAACTTATTCTATACCTCAAATCACATCAAACAACGCTAAAATCACGAATCATACCCCAATTCAAGCTTAAGGAACTTAAGAATTTTCAACTTCTACATTCGATGCTGAAACCTATCAAATCAAGTCTGATTGACCTCAAATTTTGCACAGAAGTCATAAATGACATAACGAACCTATTCAAATTTTCAGAATCGGATTCCGACCCCGATATCAAAAGGTCAAATCCGTGGTCAACTTTGGAAATCTTTAGCCTTTAAATTTCTAGTTTCCGTTAAATGGTAATAACTTGAGCTAGGGACCTCCAAATTAAATTTCGGGCATACACCCAAGTCCCAAATCATGATACGGACCTACCGGAACTGTCAAAATACTGATCTGGGTCCAATTGCTAAAAGTATTGACCAAAGTCAACTTACTTGAGTTTTAAAGTTTTATTTCACATTTTAATCAATATTTTTCATATAAAAATTTTCGAAAAATTATATGGACTGCACACGCAAGTCGAGGAATGAAGAATAGTGCTATTTGAGGTCTTAGAATACTGAATTAATTATTAAATTTAAAAATGACCTTTTGGGTCATCACAATAGCTTGGTAGGAAATCCCAAGGAGTGGTGGATTGATTCTAGAGCCACTCGCCATGTTTGTGCTAACAAAGAGTTATTTGCCTCTTATGTTCCCGCAGAGCCCGATGAGACTATCTTTATGGAAAACTCCGCAACAACAAAAATTGAAGGAGTTGGGAAGATAACTTTGAAGATGACTTCGTGCAAAGTTGTGACACTAAACAATGTTCTCCATGCTACTGAAATTCGCAAGAATTTGGTCTCTGCTGGACTTCTTATCAAGAATGGATTAAAGTGTGTGTTTGTTTCTGAAAAAGTTGTAATAAGTAAGAATGATATGTATGTAGGAAAATATTACCTAACTGAGGGCCTTTTCAAGTTGAATGTAATAGCTATTAATATCAATAAAGTTCAAGCTTCTTCTCACTTACTTGAGTCAGATAATTTATGGCATGCACGTTTAGGTCAAGTAAACTTCAAAACTATACGAAAAATGATTAACTTGGAAATATTGCCTAAATTTGAATGCAATAATTTGAAATGTCAAATATGTATGGAATCTAAGTATGTTAAACATCCTTATAAGTCAGTTGAAAGGAATTCAAATCCTTTAGACTTAATTCACACAGATATTTACGACATGAAGTCAATACCATCTCGCGGTGAAAAAAAATATTTCATAACTTTTATTGACGACAGTACTAGATATTGCTATATTTATTTACTTAATAGTAAAGATGAAGCAATTGAGGCATTCAAGCAATACAAAAATGAAGTTGAAACGCAACTAAACAAAAAGATCAAAATGATAAGAAGTGATAGGGGTAGAGAATATGAATCTTCTTTTGAAGAAATATGTTTGGAATATGGCATTATTCACCAAACAAATGCCCCTTACTCAGCGCAATCTAGTAGAATTGCGGAAAAAAAGAATAGAACGTTAAAGGAGATGATAAATGCCTTGTTGCTAAATTCGGGTTTACCCCAGAACTTGGGGAGGGGGGGNGATATTGCTATATTTACTTACTTAATAGTAAAGATGAAGCAATTAAAGCATTCAAGCAATACAAAAGTGAAGTTGAAATGCAACTAAACAAAAAGATCAAAATAATAAGAAGTGATAGGGGTGACGAATATGAATCTCCTTTTGAAAAAATATGTTTGGAATATGGTATTATTTACTAAATAATTGCCCCTTAGTCACTGCAATCTAATAAAATTGCGGAAAGAAAGAATAGAACATTAAAGGAGATGATGAATGCCTTGTTGATAAGTTCGGATTTACCCCAGAACTTGTTGGGGGGAGGGGGAGCTATTCTTACAGCTAATCAAATACTCAATCGAGTTCCCCATAGCAAAACACAATCCATTCCATATGAAAAATGGAAAGGTGGGAAACCCAACTTAAAATATTTTAAAGTGTGGGGGTGTTTGGCTAAAGTACAAGTTCCTAAACCCCAAAAGGTGAAGATTGGACCGAAAACAGTTGATTGCGTTTTCATAGGATATGCAAGAAATAGTAAGGCATCTCGTTTTCTGGTTCATAAATCAAAAAATCCCGACATTCATATTAATACGGTAATCGAATCCGATAATGCTGACTTCTTTGAGAATATTTATCCGTATAAAAATGAATGCGAGTCGTCTAGTAAAAATTCTAAGCGATCTCGAGAAGAAGCAAATGAAAGTACGTTTAATGAGGAAAATTCAAGACATAATAAACGTCAAAGGACAACTACTTCCTTCTGACACTTTTGTTGGAAAATGAGCCTCAAACGTTTAAAGGTCATGATATTTTATTGATATGATTGAACCTTCCATCTCAACTACGGAAGGCAGGAAGCTCGATAACCTCAACCTCATTATAGATCGAAATTGGTACTTCGTTTCTAGTTAATAATTCGATAAAACATTTGTATTATTTTACAAGTAACCTAACTGTGTAAACTCTTTTAAATTGTCTAATAGTGTTGTAGGTTGCACTACATAGCCCAGTCTTGTAGCGTGAGTTTCGTGTGCAGGATCATAAGATTAAATAGGGGTGGTCCAGAGTGGTTTATGTCAATTTGTGATGTTTACTAAACGTGGGAAAAGGAGAGTGAATGTGGTGTTGTATTTGGATTACTATTACACTTTCAAACCTAATCTGGACAACGTCTCGTCATAGTCAAGCTATTTTTCTTTTTCTTTTTTATTGTGCCGACAGGACATGTATAAATTCTTCTATTAAATGGGACAAGAATGGAGCGTACAAGATGAGATCGATTAGAATGTTGGAGTAAAAGCTTAAGAATCTACCATGAATCCTTAAAATAATATAATAATGAAGGTTTTGGTGCAAATTGTATATTAGCAATAACTTCCTATTTAAAGAATTCATTCACGGTTGAAATCGGAATTCAAGTTGGGGGTGTAATAAGGTTGGGCTAGTTCAGACTTTTTAATTACCAAACCAAACTAATAGTGTAGAATTTTTAAATCTATTAGTTTCTCGACACGTGCATTGCAGGTGTATCCCGAGTTATGTAAACTATTTTTCATAAACCTACAAAGATGAATAATCAAACGTAGTATTTATATTATGTCTAAACAATAAAACTGGATTATCTCTGAAAATTAATGTAATAGTAATAATATAAGATAGGTTTTGTATTTTCTAGCTAGTATGATTAACATTCTTGTTTGATATAGACATTAAATTAAAATAATTCTTAAAAATGTGACATCTTGCAGTGACAATAGCTATTATTAATTAATTGAGGTAATATATTGAAATAATTATTGTTATTTTAAAAAATAGAAGTATTACCAATTGTGCGTTCGAGTAAATACAAGTAGCTGTAACTAAGAAGAGTGGAAAACAAATCAACACTTGACGGCCACAGATTATCGATAAGAAAAGACAACTGAAGCGTGCGGAGAGGATCTTGGAAAGCTTAGTAACTCCTGTGCCATTTCGAAATAATCCAGCACATCAATGACAAACTTTTCAAGCACAGTTGGATGCTTGAGAAAATATTTTACCAATGGCAGCAGCAACTTATTTTCACTTAGTGGTCCATGAAAGTTAATGATCTCGATGGTCTTCAGATGTGGAAATAAGCAGTTAAAATTACGTGTTTCAAACCTCCTTTGTTCATCCTCATTTGTGTACCTTGACAGCAGGTCCTGCATGAAAGAATCCGCTATATTAGCCAGTTAATTCTCCTTAGAATCTTAGCTGGAAGTAGAACGCCAAGGAGTTGATTGTGGATAGAAAAAAGAGGTGACGAGTTTTTAGATTCAAGGAACATGTCAAGTGCTTAATAAACGTTACAAAGTGGTACACACAAACAACAAAAAATGTTTCAAAGTTTAATTGAAGTCGATCCTGTATCTCCTCCGATGAAGGTGAGTACCATCCCTTGTTAAAAATCTTTTTCCTACAACTACAAAAAAGTTAACTGTCGAAGAATCAGTTTTGACAGTGACAACATGAAGTTTCTGCCAAAGCAACTCAAGCTGGACTATCTTCTTGAGAAAAATAAATTGAGGGAACAAAAAAGTTCCGCTAAATTTCTTACACAAAAATGGAACAATAAGCACGCTGCTGCAGCGGATTTAGCAAAGATAAACCATCAACTTTCAACACTAAAAAGCAGATTCTGAAATCCATGCAAAGCAGCATTCAATTGAAATTTCCAGAATTTGAACTACCAATTCCCTGGAGCAATTTCATTGAACACATTGAGAAATGCTCACCTTGATGAATAAGCATTATTGTAAAATATTCTAACACTGATCTACGATTGGTAAAACTAAACATGGATGGCAGTTGCGGACAAGGAAAATGTGGACCAGGTGGCATAGTGAGGAACTCTCTGGTGATATTATTATGGCATATGTAGTCCCACTAGCTAGGCCATGGAACAAACAATACGGCTGAAGCATTTGCACTTTCCTATGGGCTTAAATAGTGTCTTGAACATTGTATTAGAAACATTTGGGTGGAAGCTGACTCTCACTTATCGTGAATGTCGTCAAGGGAGTTGCAGAACCTTCTTGGCGCTATGAACCTATTATTGAAGAGACTAAAGAGTTTATTCAAAGTGAAGAAGTCAGGGTGATACACTATCACAGAGAAGCAATGGTGTGGCTGATTCTTTATCTGGATACAGCCAACTGTTGGATGCAGAGAAGAAAATTTTCAGCTTTAACTCATTACCAAGAGAAGCTAGAGGGCACTTAAGGGTTGACAAGTGGCAGCTCCTTTCCTTCAACATTCGGAAAAAGGCCCAAAGCTTACCTCCAATAATCAACAAGATGAACCTCCCGGTTAGAACCTTCTGTGAGCTCACATGTTACTTGAGAATACCCCCCTCACTTCTTCTCTTTTTTATAGCCTGTTTGGTCAAGCTACTCCATGGCCAAAAGTACTTTTTTTTTTTTAAAAAGTTCTTTTTTTCCAAAGTTAAGGTGTTTAGCCGAGCTTTTGGAAGAAAAAAAAAAGTGTTTGTGAACAGAATTAGAAGCAATTTTAGAGGAGAAAAAAAAATAGCTTCTTCCTAAAAATATTTTTTTTTTTTGAAAAGGTAGCATATTACATATAAATAAAAGACTACACAAAGGCTGTGAAGTCACCCATAATTACAAAGAGGCCTAATAAGAAAAGACACTCCTAGTCCTTTGTCTTCTCATAAGGATTTTAAAACATCAAAAATAAATTAATGATCTTATGATCTTCTAAATATTCTCCTTTACACTAAAATAAAAAAGAACTAAACATTTCATTTTCAACTTTTGAATGTTACTATATCTATCTTCAAAGCAACTTTGATTTCTTTCTTCCCAAATTGTCCACCATATGCAAGCTAGGACAATCATCCATCTCTCTTTATGACGGAATAGGTTGCCTTCTCTGTTCCAACATGTTAAAACTTAATGTATTCTTCTTGACATAACCCACAATATTCCCCTCAAATTGATGAATATCCTCCGTAATCGTAAAGCCACTTTACAGTGCAAAAAGAGATGATTGATTGTCTCTGCCTCTGCTCCACATAAGTAACATCTAGAACATAGCTGGAATCCTCTCTTGATCAAATTATTCTGAGTTAGGATTGCCTCCTTTGCTAACAACCATGTAAAGCATACTACTTTATAAGGAATTTTAACCTTCCATGGCCAGTAGCCAATCTGATTGTTTGAGATGTTGAACTCCTTGTATTATATGCTGCTTTGGCTGAGAACTTCCCGTTGCTATTCCCTTGCCATGTGACAGTCTTAAGCAGTAGAGATCCCTTTGAATCATTCCAAATTCTCATAGAATTCTATAATTCTGTCAATCTCCTCTTCTGAAGGTCAAAATCCATCCTTGACTTGTCCAAACCTCTGCTACTATTGCCCCCTACTGTTCATTCAGTAAATAAATATTAGAAAAAAGCTATTTTAGCTGAAGTTTGACTTGTTAATGAGCTTATGCCAAAGATTTCTAATAGACTTTCACAAACTGAACCCACATGGATTTGTCACAAGCTTGCTTATCCATTTTCCTTCCATGCCATACTTTTCTCTGACTACCTCCTTTTATAAAGAATGTTCTTTCGAAGCAAATCTCCATAACCACTTCATCAACAAACTTTGATTCTGGATCAATTTCTTGATTCCCATTCCCCCTTCCTTCTTGTTAACTGTGAGTGAGGTCTATCTAAACAAGTGAATTTTTTCTTCTCACTGTTACCTTCCCAAGAAATTTCTTCTCAAAGCATCTATTCTATTCTATTCACCACAGTCGCTGGTATTGGGAATAGAGAAATCATATACGTCGGCATAACATCAAGAACTGACTTTATCAGGACCAATCTTCCTCCCATGGACAGGTATTGGCTCTTTCAATTAGCTAGCTTCTTCTCACATTTCTCTAAGACCCCATTCCATATCCTTTTTGACTTGCTTTTGGCCCCCAAAGACATTCTCAAATACACAGTAGGCAGGTTGCCTATTTTACCACCTAGATTTCCAGACAAGTTTTGGAGCTCCATTACCTCATTAACTGGATAAACAAAACTTTTATTCTAGTTAATGTGCAAGCCAGAAATGGCTTCAAACAAGATAAAAATGACCCTCAACATTTGAAGGTGAGCTTTATCAGCTTCACAGAATACAAGAGCGTCATCTGTATATTGTAGATGGGAGATCTCTAGTTGACTGCCTGCCCTGGAATTTACCCTGAAGCCTCTTATCCAATTGTTTATCTGAGTTGTCTTTAACATGTCATCCAATCCTTCCATGATAATGATGAATAAAAAGAGAGATAGGGGATCACCCTGTCTCAGGCCCCTCTGAGAACAAAATAAAACAACTGGTGAAACATTAATAAAAAATGAGAATCTCACTATACTGATGCAAACTTTGATCCAATTTACCCATCTACCACCAAACCCCATCTTCCTTAGAGTCTCTAGCAAAAAATTCCAATTCAAATGATCATAGGCCTTCTCAATATCCAATTCCTATAAAATACCAGACTCCTTAATATCCTTGCATCCAGACATTCATTAGCAATTAATATGGCATCCATTATATGTCTGCCTTTAATGAAGGTCATCTGCTTCCATCAAATTATTCACCACCTTCTTGAGTCTCTATATCAACAACTTGGAGACGATTTTGTAGATGCTGCCGATCAAACTAATAGGCCTGAAGTCTTTCAGTTCCTTGGCTCCAACCTTCTTAGGAATTAAAGCCACAAAAGTGGCATTAAAACTTTTCTCGAAAATACCCTGGAAATAGAAGTTCTGAACATCAGCTACCACTTCCCTTCACACGCCTTCACACGCCTTCACACTATCCTATATCTCCTGAACACCAAAAGGACTTTGACGCATTTGATTGTCCTCGATGGTAATCATAGGACAATTCCTAAAATTACCTTGTTGTCTCCATTCATCTTCTTCAAAATATAGATTTTGATAGAAAGTGACAATCTCTTTCTTGATAACTTCAGGATTCTGCACCAATATCCCTTCTACTACCAGTTCCTCAATATGGTTGTGTCTCCTAGTGTGTATTTGTAATTCTGTGAAAAAAAAAATTGTATTTTTATCCCCTTCCTTCAACCACAAGGCTCTGGATCTTTATCTCCATGCCACCTCCTCATGTTTTGCAATTTCCTAAAATTCCATTGCCTTGGCAGTTTTGGCATACATTTCCTCTTCATTTAGAGGGCTCTGGTCATGAATCTTCTCCAATTCTGCAAGCAGGTAATGTACACTTGCCTTTGCAATTCTACATTTCCTTGTAAAGCTCGACTCCATTCTCTGAGTTTTTCCTTCATGGCTTTAAGTTTGAAAGCCAAAATAAAGTTCGGCCTTCCTTCACAGATAAAGGAATTCCACCAAACTTTGATGATGTCTATAAAGCCATCAATTTGTAGTCACCAATTGTTAAACTTGAAATAAGATTTGATTGGCTCCCAACTGCCACATTGTAGCATCAGAGGTGAATGGTCTGAAGTTACTCAGTGGATCATTAATTGTTTGACGTTTCTAAACCCATCATTCCAATCAACAGATACAAAACATATGTCCAGTCTAGCAACTATGAAGTGTCTGTCACCTTTTCTCCACATGTAATTACCACCTGCTAATTGTAAATCTACTAAGTCCATATCTTCAATGAATTCTGAGAACTCTTTCATGGCTCTAGTGATTCTATTGCAATTTTTCTTCTCTGAAGGAAACCTCATAGTATTGAAATCCCCTCACACCACCCATGGCCCCTCAAATAAACCTTTGTCCCTTGCCAATTCCCACCAAACATCTTCCTTTTCCACTCCATCATTAGGGGCACATACACCAGACAGATGCCAGATAAGTTCTTGAGTTTTACCAGTGAACTTATAGGTAATACAGTGTGATCCCAAGCTGCTAATTTCCCCATCCCATATTCTTCTGTCTCACAGCACCACAATACCTATTCTAGTCCCACTAGCTTCTAATTGTGCAAATTTTACCCAACTATTAGCCCATAATTCTTTTACAATCTCTATAATATCCCCCTCTAGCTTGGATTCTTGGAAGCAAAAGACATCTGCCTTTCAGCTGCTCATTAGACTTTTAATCAGCGTCCTCTTCTTTTGACGGTTTAACCCCCTCACTTTCCATGATAGAATGTTAACCTTCATTGATCTTTTATAACAATACATTTCCCTTTCCTTCTAGTTTCATTGCTCTTGAAATTACTCCCGATATCCAACCCCTTTATTTCATTGATACCCTTTCTTTTTGGAGTATCCCTCACATGTAATTCTAATTTTCCTTTGTTCTCTTGCCTTTTGTTGTCGATTTTTAAAAAGAGCTCCAGAGCTTCTCTTTCACAACCTTGAAAAGCACACTTTTGAGAAAAATGCACTTAGAAGCACTTTATAAAAGCTTAGATAAACACTAATTGCTGCTGAAAAGTACGTTTCAAATTAATTAGCCAAACACAAACTGCTTCTCACCAAAAGTACTTTTTTGAAAAACACTTTTGAAAAAATACTTCTCAAAATAAACTGATTTTAGAAGTTTGGCCAAACAGACTATTACTCTTATGGAAACAATGTACAGGTTAGCAAGTCTCCACAAGTTAGAAGCTATTCTTGTAAAGCTCATTAGGTACGTAGGCCAGTTATGTTTCACATTGCAAAGAGGAGTCTTCCTATACAAAAATTCTTTTTTCTTACTCCTTAGAGGCTTATCTCTTACACTATTCTCAAAGATTAAACTGCCTCAATCTTCTCTTTACTTGAGGATTGAACCGGTTCAAGTCTTACCTTTTTTGAAGAGGTAAGGCAATCAAATCCCCCTCTTTGTAACCTTTTATCATTATCTATAAAATATACCACTAATGATCTAAATAAAAAAAACTATGACTATTTTCCTAAAGTACTTAAAATTAGAAATATAATGGAATAAGTGTTGTTTTCTTCTTCCATCAATAGTTGTTTGATATGGATAACATGAAGTAACGAAAATAAAGGTCTAACGTAAACATACTCTTTCTTCCTCATTGTACCACCAGTCAATGACCAATGTCTCAAGATCCAATGAACATGGTAGAAAGCTGCAAAGTCCAGGGAAGTCCAACTGTTGTAAGGCTGGAAGTTCTGAGAGTTTCCAGCTTGATGGTGGAGGCTGCCACCCTTTCAACTCCAGTACAGACAGGAACTTATAAACAAAATAGACATAAACCACAGTATGTCAAAACAAGGAAATATGACATAATTAACAAATGAAATGTAAATTGTTGAATAATTCACAAAATAGCTTGGACTAGACGACTGCATTTTGCCACAACTTAGTGTTCATGATTGGTTTGAAAATTCAAAGATAGACTTCTAAACACTTGGAAAACGCCATTCACATGATTTAAAGAGTACGATCAATGTAAATCAATCCAAATTTTACATGTTGTTCTGTCCATTGCAAAACTCTTCATTCTCAGTGTTCATCAGCCAAAATTTTGTTGAAAAGATCTTGTTTCAATCTGCTGCCACTATCCAACCATATTGACCGCGAGAATGTAATTCTTTAGTACTTACCAACTTAATTATCAGATTATCCTAAGTAGTGGAACTGTTAATGTTACTAAAGTGATGATTCAATAGCAAGTTAAAAAACCAAAAGCAAAAAAGATAGTGAAGAGTATGAATAAACCTCTATGCACCATGGACCCAATTCAAGATTCTCGACATTGGCAATACCGTGAAGAAGCTCCTTCAAATATATACACTCCTTCTCCAAGTTGCCTTCCGCATCGTCAAAAGCAAAATTTAAGCGAAGGACTGCCTGTGACAAGTGAAGCCACATTTCTCTGCCGGATGCGTATCTCACTGCAGTACCCCAAAAGTTCCAATTTTTGAATATACGGGGCTAATATTTCAAGCCACAGGTCAGGATTCTCATTTCCGTAATCTTGTATTGTCAATTCTCTCAGCTTGACAGAGCTGATTTCCAAAAGATGAATGCCCGAAACACTATCCAGTTCCAAGCACTCCAAGTTAGGGCAACCTGATAATACCTTTTCCATTACAACATCAGTCAAAGGCAAGGACCCAAGTGAAAGAGAAACGAGACTACTCCAGTTTACACTACCAGTAGGGTTGAGTTGGCAGTACCATAAAGCCAAATCACTCAACGATGCATTTTTATATGTAAATTGAGGAAACTCATATCTTTGGTGATTTGTATCGATAACTCCCAGTGCAAAACTTTCAACATTAGCAACTTTAATTGCAAAATGTACCCATAAATCAATATCTTTAGCAAAACGATCCTCGTACCTAAGGCGCCAGACCCTGAATTTCTGTATTTTCTCGCAATTCCTCCAGCTCTCTATGGATGGAAGCCAGGTAAAAGAGATTGTCATTTTCGCTTTCACAAATGGGGAAGTCGAAATCGAGTGATATTGGGACGGACTTCCAAAGAAACCTCCATCGTCTAGATAATACGCTGGTTCTCACAACTTCTTTATTGTGCCACCCCGGCAACATTGAGAGGATGTGAATTAGAATTGCGTCGGGCAAATTAGTGAGTCGGTCTTCTATAGCAGTGATTTTCCTCTGCATTTCCATGAGTACAACTCTCACTTGAGGGAGCTTGCTGTAGTTTGAATTTGGAGAGCAAAGGGTTTTCTTTTTCCGCGCAAGAGCAAAGTGACTGTCACCGATTTCGGGGTGTGCCAGGGGGTGGGGGCGCATTTCTGGTAATTGGGCTTTGACCAGTCGGCCGATTGGGTAAGGGGCGAGTGCACAAATAGTCATTGTCAGGGATACTATTTAAATATTAACCAATACTTATTTTGTTATGAAATTTTAAACTGAAATATTAACTTCCGGACACTTTTGTCTAGAAAAATTAAACTGAAAAATTAAAATTTAGGATGCACTGACTAATTCTTAAATAGTTGCAATGGTTATCTGGTGTCATTTCTACTTGTTTGGGGGTAAGTGGAGTCTGGGTAATTGAGCTTTGGCTCAACAATTTTAGGGTTGATTTACAAGAATGGCCTTGAAAATAGGTGATTTTGATTTTTTAACCACGTTTGTTCATGAGCGGAACTTCAAGTTTAATAAGTGATGTCCTTCGCTTTCTCCATGGGAAACACTTTTGACTTTTGATCTTAAATATTTGCCTATGGGCCAATCAGGGGGCACAACATAAGACCATTTGTTTTTTAGGTCCTTTGGTGTAATTGTTTTTTAGAGTGACCGAGAAATAAGGCCCGTTCCTTCTTCTCTTTATTTTTGGAAGATATGCAGAAATAGGATATTTGCATACCATTTTTTAGCTTATATCCATGTTTAAGAAATTTATGCAAAATAGTTCGAGCATAACTTTTCTTGCTAGATTGGAAAATTTTGGCTTATTTGCAAGTTATGATGGACGGAAGTTGTATAAGAAACTGAAAATTTTAATGACCAAATTTTGTCCAAATTCACACATGTTTGGAAACTTTAGACTACAATATATAGTTATCGTTAAGGTTGAATTCACACAAGTTTAATTGAGAACTTTAGACGATGATATTCAGTTCTGTTCACTTGGCGATTATCAAGACATGGTGCTTCAGCATACCAAGGATATGGCCTTGATAGGAAAGTGTAGAGGTCGAAAATTAGGGTAGACGATTAATAGATAGTTGTGCGTCTCCCTTGCCCTGACCAGTAATATCTAGATTTGTTGGTTCGTTCGCTTCGGTTATCTTGTTATCTTGCTGGTGTTACTGTTTATTGTTACTGCTTCTTCTTTTTCATCTTTTCTTGAGCCGAGGGTTTACCAGAAATAGCCGGTCTACCTTCTCAAATAGGGATAAAGTCTGCGTACACATTACCCTCTCCAGAACTCACTTGTGAAATTACACTGAATTTGTTGCTATGGTCATCATTTTTGCGATTAAGGAATAGACAATATCGAAGGTCAATTATATTCAAATTCAACCCCTTGTTTTAGTTGATTGCAACAAGCGAACCGGAATCGTTAAAATTGGTACTTAATATGTTATATATTCTTGTAGTAAGCATTGTGTTATTGTTATATTACAATGTAAGTAGTACTTTTAATTTCTTAATTTTTTACAAAACAAATGTATAGTAATTTTAATTCTTAAACTGTTAATACACTTTTGGCAAACAATTTGTGTTTGAAATCTTGGCTGGTTTTACTGTTGATGCTCTTCAAGCAGCGTTTACAGCATTGTGGGCAATCTTGGCACTCTGGCTCCATTCACAATACATTGTTCCTTTTATAGAAAGTTTTATTTTTATGCTCTTCGGTATGTGATTTTGATTTTTTGACTCCGCTGATCTCATGAGCAGAAGTTTAAATTTAACAAATGTTGCCCTTCGCTTTTTTCAGGAAAAATACTTTTTGACTTTTGACCTTAAAGGTTTGCTTATGAAGCAATCGGGGGCAAAAAATTAAGACCATTTATTTTTAGGTCATCTGGTCTAATTTCCTGCTACTTTAGAGTGATCGAGATATATGGCCCGTTCCTTCTTCTCTTTATTTTTGGAAGATCTGCAGAAATAGGATTTACATACCATTATTTAGCTTATGTCCTTGTTTAAAAAGTTTATGCAAATTGTTCGAGCATAACTTTTCTTGCTAGATTGGCAAAATGTGGCTTATTTGCAAGTTATGATGGACAGAAGTTGTATAAGAAACTGAAAATTTTAATGACCAAATTTTGTCTAAATTCACACATGTTTGGAAACTTTAGACTACATTAGGTTGAATTCACACAAGTTCAATTGAGAACTTTAGAGGATGGTATTCAGTTATGTTCATTTTTGCCGGATATGGCGCTACTTCAACTTAGCGAGAACATGACCATTGATGGGTAGGTGTGGAGGTCGAGAATTAGGGTAGAAGATTAGTAGGTAGTTGTGCGTCTCCCTTGTCCTGACCAGTAATATTAGTGTTAGACTTGTATTTTTTTATTTTCTAATTTTTATCATTATTTGTTGGTTCTTTCGCTTCGGTTATCTTATTGGTGTTACTGTTTATCGTTACTGCATTTCTTTTTCATCTTTCCTTGAGTCGAGGTCTACCGGAAAAAAGCCTCTCTACCTTCTCAAAGTAGAGGTAAGGTCTGCAGACACATTACCCTTTCCAGACCCTACTTGTGAAATTACACTGGATTTGTTATTGTTGTTGTCATTTTTACAATTAAGGAATAAACAATATCTTAAGGCCAACAAATTCAACCCCTTGTTTGAGTTTATATTCTTGTAGTAAGCATTGTGTTACTGTTATATTACAATGTAAATAGTACTTTTAATTTCTTAAATATTTACAAAAACAAATGTATAGTAATTTTAATTCTTAAACTGTTAATACACTTTTGGTGAACAATTTGAATTTAAAATCTTGGCTGGTTTTACTGTTGATGCTCTTCAAGCAGCATTTACAGCATTGTACGCAATCTTGGCACTCTGGCTCCTTTCACAATATATTGTTCCCTTTATAGAAAGTTTTATTTTTATAAACCGACTTAATACATTTGATACTTTCCGTAAATAAAATTGATGGAAAGTTGACGCTTAAACATATAAAATGCTCTCTAGGTATATAAGTTCCTTTTCATTTCATTTACATGAGCATTATAAAAAGGAAAGCTCTCGGTGCACAAAATATTTTGCGTTCATGTAAGATCCGAAAAAGGCCGTACCCAAGTTGTGTGACGTATGCATCATGCTTGATGCAAGCATTAGTACTAATATCAAGGCTCCCTTGCATTTACACGAGTGTTATGTCTTCTCCAATTATGCGATATTAAAAGGTTACAATTTGTCCTTTGAGATCGACAAGTGCATTTAAAGACTTCAATTATATTAGGCAAATATTTGAGATGAAATTCTAATTTACTTAAAATCTTTAGAAGTACTTCTTCCATCAACAAAAGAAACATAATGTTCATCTTAAGAAGATTCTTTTTAATCTTTGCAGTGACTATATTGAAATTGTCTTAACAGTGACTAGATGAACGGGCCATATTATATTCCACATCTAGTCTTGAATAAAGTTAATGTTATTAGATAGTTATACTCAGAGGCGGAGCCACCGTGTCGGCTACGGGTTCAGACGAACCCAATAACTTTGGTTCAAATCATATATTTGTCTTAAATATTTTATTAAATATATACAAACTATTAATTTAGAACCCAATAACAACAACAACAATAACATACCCAGTATTATCCCATACTGTGGAGTCTGGAGAGAGTAGTGTGTACGCGCGGACCTTACCCCTACCTTGTGAGGATAGAGAAGTTGTTTCCAATAGATCCTCGGCTCAATAACTTAGAACCCAATAACTTAAAAATAATTAGGATCTTGAACCCATAAGCTTAAAATTCTGGCTTCGCCTATGATCATGTACTGTCGTGGAAAGATTTGGATGATCATGTTTGTACTGGATTTTGCTAAATGAAGTTCCACTTTTGCCAAATTAAAGAAAAGTCCACCTTTTGTTAAACCAACCTTGAACACTTTGATGTGGAAAAACGCCGTCGCCTATTAATCAACAATTTGCATGCATTTGTTAAGTATGTCTTACTTTCTTGTTCTGACTTCTGACATATTGTGGTTTATCTCTTTGGTTTATAAGTGCATGTCCTTACTGGAGATTAAAGGGTGGCAGTCTCCACATCAAGCCGGAAATTCTTAAAACTTAACGCAGACTTAAAACAGTTGGAACTTCTGATATTTTTTCTTCCTTTTTTGGTATCCCGATTTCTGGTTTTCGCATTGAAGCCCGACTAATCTAAATTTCCGTCGCGTAAGATTCATTAAAAGAAGAATCCTACCACAGCCATTGGTGGTGATGTTAGTTGAATTAATATATCATACATATATTCAGAGAGCTATTGGCCTATTTTATTTGTCATCCCATTACCAGTTTGTGACGAATTGTTATGAGGTTAAAATAACTTTCAACCGTATAACTTCAGAAGTGTATTGGTATATTATAGCAAACAATGGTCCTCCATATGAATTTTAACGTCCAAAAAAGATCTTTCAGGTGTTAAGTCCATAAAAAAAAATGCACCTCAGAAGATGTCCGAAGACATTTATAATAAGTAAACAAATGACTCAATAAATATTCTTTGGAACTAAAGGATAGTTGTTAATTTAGAGGGAATATAGAATTTGAAGTTTATGGATTCTTACGACAATTTCATATTAATATATAATAATAATAACTGGTTCACAGCTATTAGGTTCTCGTAAACCCATAGATTACGAGCTAGATCTTTCTCTAGTTGTTACTAGTATTAGTACCCGCACGATGTGCGGTTAATATTAAAAGGAACTAATTGTAGTATATTGATATTTATATCTTATTTATAATATCTCACATCAAAATTCATGTTTTAATATTTAAATTATCTTTTTTTGTTGAGGACAGTTATTTGAAATACTCAACCAATAACATATATAATTCTCCAAGAAGAGTCATCTCATGGGAAAGTCAGCTTGAAATATAGATTTACCTTGTTGTTTAGCTTATATTCGCTTCTAACTAACTAAATAGATGAAACTAGCTAAAAACTGTAAAAGTTGTATCGGTGATTTCTTAAACTCTCAAACATCTAATTTCTAGATGAACACGAAGTTAAACACACGGTTCTTTATCATATACATCAAATAATCACAAATTTTCAGTCAAACTATAATAGATGGTCATCTTCTTTTACTAAAAGTAAGAAAGGTTGTTGAAAGAAATTACCACCTTAATCAATAAAGTTAAAAAGGATGGCGAATTTAATAAGATTTTGACTCCTATTGTATAGACATCTTATCATAAAAGAGAACTTGCCCGAAACAAATAAATTTTCAACAGGTTAGGCAATAGCCGTTAAACATGTTTTCTCGAGGAACAGCGGACACTAAATTACCTGATCATTCACTACTCATATTGCTTTACATCTCCTCACTTTGTACTTTCTTCTGCATCCACAATTAGTGGTTAACATTTTTGGTTCTCAAACTATAAGCTGAAATCGAGTAGAATAAAAAAAATTATGCATTGTTCTGAGGTTCAAATCGCAGCATTTTGCTTTACCTTTGCGAGTAAAGAGAGTTTAAGTTTCAATCCCTGCATTTTAACAGAGTCAGTTCAAGACCTTGGAAGTACAAAAATAAAAAAAATCTAAGCAATTCAGTTTTCTTGAATATTGACTGCCCTGGAACCTGAAGAAAAAGTGATAAGATATCATAATCAATTGAATTTTGACATCCAAACTTAAGTTGGAATGTGTAAAGATTCTATTAAATAGAGGACGGAAATTTTTTATTTGAAGTTGTATTTGAACACTCTTGGAAACTACAGAGAAAATGCAGAAAAAGAATTTAGAAGGCCGCTGAATCGTTTCAAGAGGAAAGCTACTGTTTTGTTGAAGAAGAATAACCATTGTACAAACCCTTTGACATTCTTAGCAACATTGTTGAATGTGCTTTCGCATCCATTACAGTCCATTTAAACATTTATTTAAACCTCTTGCCAAGAAAAAGGAAGAAGAATTTTTCAAATAATACAAAAATATAAATTGAGAATAAGCAAATAGAAAAAAGGAGAAAGAAAGATAGAAGAGTAAAAAAACAGGAATAGAAATTAGAAAAATTTCAATACTAGCTCCAATTATCCCTAAAATCGGCATAGATCCATGTTCCTTTAATCCCAAATCTTCAAATTCTTTGCAAAGTGTGATCTTTGGTTTGGCTCTCAGCGGTTTCAATCTCTCAGAGAGAGAGAGAGGGAGGGCTCTTTTAACTATAGCAGTTATTGACAACCGTTTTTGGAGCGTTTTTCTGCCTATTTTCTAGTTTCAAATTGGTTAGGAGTTTCTTCCTAATATGGTAGTCTATATCTATAAAATACTACAAATATATTTTTTGATATAGAAAATAATTTGATTTTAAATTTAAAGATAAAAATATTATTTCAAATTTATAGATAGAAATATTTGAGTTGAGATAAAATAGAAGTTCATCCGCCTATGGCAAATAATGCAAAAATAACAGTTATTAAAAATATCAGTAAATTTATGACAAAATAGTAAAATTACTTATCTCTTATATTCTATTGTTGTCTTACTAAGTTATTTTTCCTTCTCATTTTGTTAAGTTTTTCAAATCGACATGCTGTGTTCTTCGTATAATTTATTTATTTTTGTGTGTATGTATTTAATGTGTAAAAAAATCATATCTCTCTACTGTCATTGAAGTCGTGACTGCACAATTGCTTCAATTTATATTATTATTTGGTCATGCCTTAGGCACTATTGAGTATAGTTATTATTAATACATTCATTATTATATTGTACAATGTAAAAACTAGTAGATTTAGTTAGTGGTTTAGCTTAGCTAAGTGGTTAGCTTAGTCAACATGTATATATACTTGTAGAGTTAATGAAATCAGTAGAGAGTTCTCATTATACAAAACACACAAATTCTATCGATGCTTTCACTCTCTCTATCTCACGCTCCCCTTCTTCTCTTCTCTCAGAATACTCTAGAGAACTCCATGGGAACTCTATCATTCTAAGCTTACATGCAAAACTGTTATGGTATCAGAGCTTGGATATCAGTTCGGATCCTTTCAGCATCTCCGTTCTTCGTTCTGAATTTCATCTGTTTTTGTCATTCACTAGGGTTTCGGCGATTGCCGCCCAATTCTGAAAATTCTTCCACAAATTGAAGATCTTAGACCTAATTGAAGGTTTTATACTCCTCAATTTCATCGAATCGGAGCTTCGCAGATGGCTATCGATCAGACTGAAGAGACCACTTCTGGCACGAGCAGAAATGACTAATTGGTCATCGATACAGGTAATCCCCTATACATCCATCCTTTGGATAGTCCTGGAGTGACTTTAGTACTAGTTTCGTTCGACGGAATTGGATATCGTTCCTGGAGAAGAAGCGTGTTGCGAGCCCTGTCAGTTAAGAACAAGTTAGGGTTTATTAATGGGGGAATGTAGAAGACCTAACCCTAATTCGCCTCAATTCCGTCAGTGGGAGAGATGTGATGACATGGTAACCTCATGGATCCTCAATTCCCTTGCTAAGGAAATCTATGATAGTGTGGAGTATGTGAACGACTCAGTTGAGTTATCGAGGGAATTAGAGGATCGTTATGACCAAACGAATGGGGAAACATTATATCAGATTCATAAAGAGATTAATGATCTTGTACAGGGAACCTTAGACATTACCACGTACTATACACGAATGAAGAGATTGTGGGAGGAACTGAACACTTTGAGTGCCAAATCTCAATGTAGCTACAATTGCACATGTGGAGCAAAAGAAACTATGCACAAGGCAGAACAAGATCGACGACTTATCCAATTTTTAATGGGCTTGGATGAGGTCTACACAATAGTGCGAGGAAGTATCCTTATGATGAAGCCTCTGCCTTCTATGGCACAAGCTTTCTTTCTACTGATACAAGAAGAAAAACAAAGGGAATTCAAACCTAATAGCCAACTTAGTTTGGACTCTACTTCACTGCATGTAAATGCAAATCCACAACATCAGAATCCATTTAGAGCCAGGAACTTCAAGACACATTATACAGTCAACAACAATAATAAGGGTCGTTCATTTTGTGACTACTGCAAAAGACCAGGGCATATAAGGGAGAAGTGTTATAAGTTACATGGATACCCTCAAGGCAGTTCATATAATAATCAGAACTTCAATCGTACCAATACTCAGCCCTATAATCAGGGGAACAACCAGAACCATAAGTTCAACAAAGGAAAAGGCTCTGTGGCAAATATACATAGAACCCCGACTGATATGATTCATGAGAATGGAGATGAGCAGGACCTACAAGATGAAAATCAGAATGTCAACCTGACAAAATAGCAATATGGGTAGATAATGAGCTTGCTGCAGCACTTTCAAGTAGGGAATGCAGGAGGATCTTCCAGCAATGACAATGTCACCAGTGGTAGTGCCAACTTTGTAGGTATTGTTGTATGTACTTCTTCCATTGATTTTGACAAACTTTCATGCAAATGTTTTGAATCAATGGCTGACCTTTGGATCATAGACTCAAGAGCATCTAACCATATGACCTTTAACAAACATGCCCTCACTAACATCACTAGACTACCCTATCCTCTACTGATAAGCCTGCCAAATGAATATAGAGTAAAAGTTCTTGAATTTGGAGATGTGATACTTTTTTTAGACATTGTCTTACATAGAGTCCTTCATGTTCCATCATTCAAATATAATTTGAGTTCTGTTCACTCCCTTGCAGTACACCTTAGATGTATTATATTCTTTAGTGATTCACTCTGTCTATTGCAGGCCCCTTCAGTGAAGATGCCTCAGGTGATTGGTAGTAGCAAAGAAGGTTTGTACTATCTCCGTTCCTAGTGTTTGAAGGGTAAAAAGGTTATTTTGCCCTCTACTGTTTCAGCTTCTTACTGCAATTGTATTCCTGCTCCCAATGTAAATAGTCATGAGTCTGTTAGTCATACTCATTCATGCCACAATCTACAATCTGTAAATATTCCCATTTCAATAAGAATGAGTCTTCATATGTGTCTGATAAATATGATATAAATTCTCTATGGCACAATAGGCTTGGTCATGTTCCTTTTGTTAAAATGAGAGGAATATCCTTAATTCCTACAAAATTTGCACCAAGACAACCATTTATTTACCCTATAAACCCTATGGCAAGACAAACCACTCTCATTTCCTCAAAGAACCAGCACTACCTCCCAATTATTTGAACTAGTGCACATAGACATATGGGGCCCTTACCATGTGACTACCCATGATAACCACAAATATTTTCTCACCTTAGTGGATGATTTTAGCAGATCCACTTGGACTCACCTGTTGGGCTGCAAAAGTAATGATCTTCAGGCTTTAAAAGCTTTTGTAGCAATGATTGAAAACTAATTCAATACATCTATAAACTCCATTAGATCTGATAATGGCTTAGAGTTTACCAGCCATGAAACATCCTCATTCTACCAATCCAAAGGGATCATACACGAGAAAACCTGTCCCTATACACCACAACACAATGGTGTAGTAGAGAGAAAGCATAAATATCTCCTTGAAATTGCTAGGGCACTCATGTTTTAGTCCAAACTCCCAACCAAATATTGGGGAGAGTGCATCCTAACAGCCACCTTTCTAATAAATAGGTTACCAACCACTTACCTAAATAACAAATGTCCTTTTGAATTGTTATACCAAAAGAAACCCAACTACTCTCATTTGAGAAGCTTTGGTTGTCTCTGATACCCTACTATACCCAAGATACACAGAGACAAATTTGAACCAAGAACTACCCCTCACATCTTTGTAGGATATTCACTTGGAACAAAAGGTTACAGGGTACTAAGTCTAGCCACCAAGAGAATACATGTCTCCATAGATGTAATTTTTCATGAAAGTGTATTTCCTTTCTCTATGTCTTCTAAAAATGCTTCCTTTCCTTCCGTTCTTAAGACAATCTCATTTCCTAATTATGCTTAGGACAGTAGTCAGAATTCTCCTATGAACACTGGACAAAGTCTTGTTAGTGTCATATCTCCAGACATGGAACATTAATCCGAGACACTAATTACTTCTAATTCCACATCTTCAAGTGATAACAATGTGCAAACCTCATCTACACCTGTACAGTCAGTAGCACCAGTTTTAAGGAAATCCAATAGAAATCATTAGACTCCTGTCTACCTAAAAGATTATGTTTATCAATTGTCCAGTAGTACTACTCAACTGACCACTACTTCTCACTAGTACTACTCAACTGACCACTACTTCTCACCGCACTCCTTCATTAAATGCCTTATTCTCTAATCATCATCACATCACTCTTGATGTTCTGTCTTTTGAAAGTCAGCACTTGGTACTAAGTGTTTGCTATGGTAGTGAGCCATCTTCATATGAAGAGGCAACCCTCAATCCTGCATGGCAAGCAGCCATGACACAGGAATTTGAGGTACTCCATGCCAATCATACTTGGGATTTGGTTCCTTTACCAGCTGGGAAACAAGCAATAGGTTGTAAATGGATATATAAGGTTAAACATAATGCAGATGGGAGCATTGAAAAGTTCAAAACCAGGCTGGTAGTAAAAGGTTATACTCAGCAAGCTGAGATTGATTATATAGAAACCTTCTCCCCTGTTGTGAAAATGATAACTGTTAGGGTATTAGTTACAGTAGCTGTTAAGAAGGGCTAGGACATATTCCAATTAGATGTGAATAATGCCTTCCTCCATGGAGACTTATATGAATAGGTATACATGGAGGCTTCTCCTGGTCTTGTAGTTGATCGGTGTAGTTCAAACAGGGTGGTATGCAGGCTGAACAAATCATTATATAGGCTGAAGCAAGCCAGCAGACAATGGTATGCCAAACTAACTGAGGCATTGTCTTCAAAAGGGTACCAACCCTCTGAAAATGAATACTCCCTTTTCTACAAGAAAACTTTCTCATCCATTATCTTTGTAGCTGTATATGTCGATGATGTTATAATCACTGGGACCGACTCAAAAGAGATTGCAAGGTTGAAGGCTTTCCTGGATCAAAGGTTCAGAATAAAGGATTTGGGCAGACTTCACTATTTTTTGGGTCTAGAAGTCTTATACAAACCAAATGGTGTTCTTATTTCTCAAAGGAAGTTTGCCTTGGTTTTATTGAAGGAATATCAATGTTTTGACTATAGCAATGTGTCCTCACCTCTTGATCCTGCTGTGAAGTTAAAAGCACAAGAGGGGAATCTTCTACTAGACCCCACATACTACAGAAAATTGGTGGAAAAGCTCAACTTTCTCACTAATACTAGGCTAGATATAGCCTACAATGTGCAACTCTTGAGTCAGTTTATGCAAGCTCCAAGAGACTCCCATTTGACTGCAGCATTTCATCTTCTTAGATACCTCAAAAAGGATCCTACACTGGGTATTTTCTTCTCCAACAGTCCTGACTGTTCGATCAAGGCTTATTGTGACTCAGACTGGGCTGCCTGCCCGGACTCTAGAAGATCTGTTACTGGGTACATTGTTTTACTAGGAGACAACCCTATTAGTTGGAAGTCCAAGAAGCAGGAGATTGTTTTCTTATCCTCAGCTGAAGCAGAATATAGATCCCTCAGGAAAGTAGTTGGAGAGTTAGTGTGGTTGAGCAAACTGTTTCCCAATCCAGTCCTATTAAAGTATTTTGTGATAGCCAGTCTGCCATACACATTGCCCATAATCCAGTGTTTCATGAAAGGACCAAGAACATTGAAGTCGACTGCCACTTTATAAGGAACAAGCTGCAAGAAGGCCTAATCTCTCTTCATCATGTGACTACTCACAATCAATTGGCTGATATTCTTACTAAGGCCCTCACAGGGGTCAAACATTTAGCTGTTCTGGGCAAGTTGGTTGTGAGAACCTCACTTCCAACTTGAGGGGGGTATTGAGTATAGTTATTATTAATACATTCATTATTATATTGTATAATGTAAAAGCTAGTAGATTTAGTTAGTGGTTTAGCTTAGCTAAGTGGTTAGCTTAGTCAACATGTATATATACTTGTAGAGTTAATGAAATCAGTAGAGAGTTATCATTATACAAAACACACAAATTCTGTTGGTGCTTTCACTCTCTCTATCTCACGCTCCCCTTCTTCTCTTCTCTCAGAATACTCTAGAGAACTCCATGGGAGCTCTATCATTCTAAGCTTACATGCAAAACTGTTTGGCACCTTGAGGATAAACTGGGGAAAAAGGATTATTTGTGATTTAGATATTTTTGTTTCTATCATGTTTTAGTGAATTGTAACCGAGAGTCATTAATATCTTATATGAAGCTTATGAACTTTATGGAAGCCACTAATCATATTGATGGTATTTCTATTCCTGTCACGACTTATGTAAAGCAACAAAAACTCTTTCTTTATCATGTTGTGATATTATCTAATAGAGCATCTTCGTTCCTATATTGTGAACAATATAACAATTGATAAGTTTGACAAAATAATGACTATATAATACCTTTAAATTCACATTTCCCTTCTTCTTTTCTCACTATTTGAACTTAAAGTTTCACCAAGTCTATTGTCTAAAGTTGAACAATTTATGTATCTTGCTCTATGGACCTTCTTTGTAGAATGCGTCTTCAGAGATTGTACTTGGCACTTTTCTTCTCTGTCGTCTAGAACTTCTCTGTTTTATTTAATATGTATGGATTCTTTTATTGTTTGTATTCATTTAAGTTTGTGAATATATCATTTCATTCTGCACAATTGCTCAATTCAGTTTCATTGTTTTGTTGGAAAAGAGTCGAATATTATTCAAGATTAAATTTACGAATACCACTAGAACAGATGTACACAAGGTGTTGATCGATAGAAAGGTAGATGAAAGTTGTGAAAGTTAAATAAGATGTTTGTGGATGTAAAGTTATAACATCTTATTCAATTTTGTTATAACTACTTTGATCACCCCACTTTAGGATTTTCACCGAACTGCTTATGTTTGGGAAGATGTTTGTGGATGTAACAATTAAGAGGCTAAGATGACTCCTATGCAAATAATTATTTATGCGGATTCTATATTCCCATACAAATGAATGTTATGAAGGTTAAATAAGATGTTTGTGGAATCAAAGTTATAAAATCTAATTCAATTATATTATAACTACCTTGATCACCCCATTATGGGAATTTCACCGAATTTCTTATGTATAGAAAGATGTTTGTGGATGTAAATTAGTTATAACAAAGTAGTACCTGTATGTGAAATTCCCAAAGAGGCTAACATGACTCTGTATTCAATTCCCATAGCGTGCCAATTTCTCATAAATTAAAGTTCTTGTTCTTCCCAGTTTGTGGATTTTTACCTGCCTTTGGGTTGTAAAGATTGTAGATTGTTAAATTAGTAGTCATCATTTAAGCAAAAGAAAAACAATTGTAGCATATAGAGATTGTATACAATTGTGTACTAATTTCTCTGTAGTTGCAATTTATATGTTGCCTTGACTTTCTTGACGTGTCTTGCCTGATTTAAAGGATTATGGTTGCAAATAGTTCACTAAAATGAAATAACTGTTATATTCTTACTTGAAGATTTTTTTGAGCAATATGATACATCCTGATAATTAATCTGCCATACAGAATATATGCCTTAATCGGGAAGTATGTTATAAAGTTCTTCAAGATGAAGTGTTGTACTCGACATATATCACATAAATAATTTTGTTGTCGACCAAATAACTTGAAATTAAAGACTACAACACATACCTCAGGCTGATATTTACAGAGAGGACATGTGTTGAGGAAACAATTGATCTTTCATTTCATATGGGGATCTTTAACTTGCGTCCTTTTGAGCAGCTAACAAATCAATATGATGTTAATGGAGCAGAATAATTCGGTAATTCTTCTCTTCCATTTTATTATAATATCAGGTGTTATTAAAATGTGCAACTTACTTTTATATTTGTTGATGTCATTGGTCAGGTTGTTACTTATGAAGCTGTTCATACCTACAAATAGGGGTGTTCATAAAAACCCAAAAAATCGACCAAAAAAATCGATACTTTTTAGCTTTGGTTTGGTTTAGTTTTGGTTTTGAATTTTAAAAACTGATCAAATTTGGTTTGGTTTTGATTTTAATAAAACAATAACCGAAAAACCCGAACCAAACCGACTATAAAAGTGTCACGACCCAAAATCTCACCGTCGTGATGGCGCCTATCTCAATACTAGGCAAGCCGAAAATCTCAATAAACCACAATTTCTCTCAAGTTTGAAAATATAATAGTTAAATACAATACAAACACTCCCCAAAACCTGGTGTCACTGAGTACATGAGTATCTAATATGAATACAAGTCTGGAAAATATAGTCTATAATAGTCTGTGACCAAATACGTTAAACAAAGAGATAGGGAAGGAGAGACAAGGTCTGCGAAACACGGTAGCTACCTCAAAATCTCCTGAAAATCAACCGCGCGAAAGGATCAACACCAACTATGTCCGAGAACACTTGGATCTGCACACGAAGTGCAGGGTGTAGTATGAGTACAACCAACTCAGCAAGTAACAATAATAAATAAGGAACTGAAGATAGTAACGAGCTACACAGTTATGGTTCATTTCGAATAATTCCAACAAAGAATAGACATGCTATCAAGTCTGGCAGTTTAATGTCAAATCAATTTTTATACAGTTCCTGTTCATGTAATCCGTATATCAACAATCTTTCAGAGATTTTACAACAATGATAGATAGCAACTAAGTGCAACAACAAATGAAAATCAAGTACAACCTCTTAGGACAACAATCACTCACTGGGCTCCCAGCCCTCATCACTCCCTGGGCTCCCAACCCTCATCACTCTCTCAATGTGTAACGACCCGGCTGGTCGTTTTGAGTATTACAATAACGTTTCCTCATTTACTGCTCAAATTGTACTTTACAGTTGTTGTATGAATTGTCGAGGTAATTGGTTCGGGTCCGGTAAGGTTTTGGAATGAATTGGAATACTTAGTTCCAAGGTTTAAAGCTTAAGTTAAAATAGTGATCGGATGTCGACTTATGTGTAAACGACCTCGGAATGGAGTTTTGATAATTTCAATAGTTCGGTATAGTAATATTGGACTTAGGAGAGTGTCCGAAAAATTATTTGAAGGTACGTAGTGAAATTTGGCTTGAAATGCCGAAAGTTAAATTTTTGGAAAGTTTGACCGGGGGGTTGACTTTTTGATATCGGGGTCAGAATTCGATTCTGGAAATTTGAATAGTTTTGTTATCTCATTTATGACTTGTGTGCAAAATTTGAAGCCATTCCGGATTGATTTTATGTATTTCGACACAAGATATAGAATTTGAAAGTTCAAAGTTCATTCGGCTTGAAGTGAGGTGTGATTCGTGGTTTTAGCGTTATTTGATGTGATTTGAGGCCTCGAATAGGTCCGTGTTATGTTATGGAACGTGTTGATATATTTGGTTGAAGGTCCTTAGGGGCTTGGGTGTATTTTTGGATCATTGATTGAGAGATTTATAAAGTTAAGAAATTTGGGAGTTTGGCCATGGTCAATATCGGGTCAAGGCGACCTCTTTTCAGTGTTTAGAGTGCGCGAGCAGGTCCGTAGCATGTTTTATGATTGAAATTCATATATGGTTTGTGTCCGGGAGGTTACGGATGAGTTTCGGGATGAGTTTTGAGCGAGTCCGGACATCGGCACTCAAATATTATTTTGGCACTTTCGGGGACTCGAACCGTGCATTTTTGGACGCTGAGGTGAAGGAGGAACGCGGACCGCACATTTTGGGGTGCTGGGGCACTTGGAATTTCGTGGACCGCGGCAAACTTTCGCGGACCGCGGTTGGAAATTCTACAGATCCGCTGGTCCGACTTCGGAAGCCTATATCTTTTGATCTACAAAGAATTGTGAGATGATTCAAAAACGAAATTTGTAGCCCTTCGTGTCTAATTTTTAAAAAGGTAAAGAAGTCATGATTTGAGCATATGTAGAGAAAGTTATGGCCAAAATACTAAAGCATGGTAGTGCAGCCCCAAGAATTTCGCGGACGCGCCAGTTTTTCGCGACCGCGGGACCCGGGGCGCGGCCGCGCTTGGAATTTCGCAGACCGCGCATGGTGAGTTCAGAGAATGGGCTATATAACCGAGGCTTAGGTTATTATTTTATTTTTGGACCTTGGGAGCTCGGTTGGAGATGAATATTCATGGATTTTTCAAGAAATTCATCGGGGTAAGTGATTCTAACTTGAATTTGATTAATATACATGAATATATCAATGCTTTCATCATCTGATTAGTACTTTGAGGTGAAAATTTGGGAAAAATTGTAGAAACTTCATAAAATGAATTTTTGGGATTTGAATGTCGATTCGAAGTCGGATTTGAGTGAAACTAGTATGGTTGGACTCGTCAGTGGATGGGCTGTCGGATTTTGTGAGTTTCGTCAGATTCCTAGACATTGGGGCATAATTTTGGATTTTTGTGGAAATATTAGTATTTTGATATGGAATTAATTCCTATAAATTTTGTGGGCTGAATCAAATTAATTATGACTAGATTCGAGCCGTTTGGAAGTCGATACACACAGAGTAGAATTGCTAGAGCATTGCATAGCTTGCTCGACATTGGATTTAGCTTGTTCGAGGTAAGTAACTCTTCTAATCTTGGAGTTGAGGGTATGAACCCTGAATATATGTATTTCGTGAATTGTTGGGAGGTGACGCACATGCTAGGTGACGGGCATGTAGGCGTGCACTATAGAAATTGCAACATAATTGTTTCTGTGGAATTTTATAGTTAAATGATCTTGGCATTTTCCATGCGGTTTTATGAATTAAAGAAATTGAGCTAAAAAATATAATAAAAATCATGTTGAGGCTATGTGCCAGTATTATTTGGACCCACAGAGGTCATATTGATGTA